GAGCCTGAGTGTAAGTGTAAACTGCTAGAAGTTTTGGCCAGTATCACCTTGTTGCTAACCGTTTTCCGTTTTCCACATTTCTGAGCAGGTATGTAGATCAGTAGACTTCCACAGACATGGGTCTCTGTATCATTCCATTTTGTTGTACCGAATTTGTTTACAGTAGATACCAGACATCTGATTGTAAACATATGAAAGTCTAATTTCTTTGTAAATAGTAATGATTTGCAGGCGAGCGTAGGCGCAAAATATATGACGGTGTTCAATGAGTAGGTATTATATGCATTCACGCAGTGCAGCATTTTCTCGTGCTTGCTTCCTTCTGGGGTTGGCCACTACGCGGACGCGGCTCGTGGTGACGTCACCTGTTGGTTTGGTGTTGGAATCCTGCAGGAGTCAAAGTTGTGACACGCACGTCACCCCGCCGAGGGTAACCTGCGGGTCACAACAAAAGTTATTTCGACATGGGGATACACGCAAGACTGGTTGTAAGGAATTATGATTCCTTACTGGGGCTTGCCATAGCGAGTATACGCGAACCTCTCGGTTCTGCAGGCTCGGCCCTCAAGTCGCGCGCCAAACCAGCCCCCGTCGACCTTTTCGGCCCCAACCTGATCCCAAGTCGCCCCGAACCCATTTTGACCCCGTCACCCTCGGGACTATCGAGCCCTTGACTGGTCCAACCCTCGACATTCAACCTGGTCAACTCGCATTATATAAGCCCTAGGCCTCATTTCTATCGTCATTCTGTAATCAAGTTCCCCTATAGTATTCTGCGATATACTCTGAGTTATAATTCATAACAGCATGTATCAGAGCTACGTTCCTGCCCATTAGGCTTCCAGTAGGGAAGCAGACCCTATCGGGGAAGGGGGTGGAAGGATGCTGATGGCGAGCGGACGACGCGGAAATTAACTACGCGGGCGTTGCCGATGCCGTCATATCCTGTCCGATGGACGGCTGGGATTAGCCGGTCCTCCCCTTCCCTGGTCGTAAACGGAATTATTCCTGGTCAAGGAGTGGGCGACGTTTTCGCCGTGTTTTTCGGGTATGTTCGTTAGAGCTTTCATAATTTTCGGGTGTTCGGACGGAGTCTTTAGATTGCCTTCGGAAAAAAAGTGAAGGCTTCGTCAGGAGAAGACAAGTGCACGGGATTCCTAAGGCGGCCGGGAGTTGGTCGTCAGGAGCGCGCGGGGTGGCAAAAATGGCGGGATGTACGGCGATGTATGTCTGGCACGCCATGCAGCGGCAGGGTGAATCGTAGCTGTGTCGCGGGTCCCGGCGTTTTTGGCAGGCTAGTTGCAGGCGATGGACGGGACGTCAACACTATTTCGACAATGGGCGAATCCGACAATTTTGGAACGGCACGATTGCACGAGAACGTGTGGGTGTGCAGTTGTGGGGGAGCTACTCAGATTAACGACCTCGGTGCTATTTACCACGACGGGCATCTAGACGTGATGATGCTGTGCTGGAGTGAGTGTACTTAGCGAGGGCGACTACCCTCGAGGGGAGGCGTTTTTCATGGACCAGCGTTTCATACCCCCACGATCAATGGAAACGGAGGCCACCACCCCTGGGTGTGTATTATAAGTGTTTTTCTACCGATCGCCGAAGCGTTAACTGCCAGGAGTTGAAGCAGTGGGAGAAGAACGAAGGGAGTACTGGAGCAGATGGGTTAGCGGCGTTCGGGTTGCTACTCGCTCCGCTGCGTCGCCCGAAAATCACCATTCCCACCAGGTAGCAGCGTCGACTTATTAATCGACGGCTTCTAGCTGAATAAGGGGGGTGAACCTGCGAACTACACTGTGCTGATGGAGCGTCACTGAAATTTTAGGAGTTACTGTTGTAGTGGAGCTTAGGGTTTTCACCTGGTGCAGCAGAAGGAGTTTTTGACTTTTGCGGGCGTACAGTGGCGGAAAGTATTGCCCGGATAATAGCCTTAAAACATTTCTCGTACCGGTTTGGTGCCTTTTTTGTTTAGTTACGAATCAAAATTCGGCATTGGCTGTAAAGTAGTACTGTAGTGTATGTGACGGATGCTTGGTTCAGTTTTATATGGGTCGATTTTTGACTGAGGACGAGATTTCGTTCGCGTGGGTGCATCTGGACAGTCCATGCCAGCTTTCACCCTCGGAAACTATCTTCCAGAACGACAAACCGGTGGAGAAACCGTGGGGGCGCTGCTAAAGGACGCCGTGATGCCTGAGTGTTTTTACGGGTAGCTGTGAAGCAGTGTTGCAGTCTTGGAAAAGGATCGATGGAATTCCAACATTTTCGGTGGGTTTGAGGAGCAGTTCTAGAGTTTACAGCTGGAGTTGTGCCCGCTATCTTCAAGAGTACGAGTAACATCGACCGATATTCACGGAATATTTTGAGTGCATCGAGGAGGAGAAGCGCAGCAGCTATTTCGTCTCTTCCTGAATTTTTCGCGTGTACGGACAAAGAAGCTGATGCAGCTGCCGTCATTCGACCCTGGGTTCCGTTCGAGGTTTTTCACTGGAGTGGTTCAGTATAGGTTACAGTTCATCATCATCGTTGTATTCCTCTCGCCACCACCCGCTACCACCTCCATCGTCAAGTCGCCTGATTCGCAAGACAGTGTGAACACGACCCCGCCTCGCCATCCGAATCGACAACAATAGAATCGGATTTACAGGAAATTTGGCAGCAATACTGTAGGAGCTGTGTTGGGGCTAGCTCGCAAGCAGTGTTTGACTTCTGAAGGTTTTTTTAGTTTGTGTGGGAGTCTACTACTGGAGTTGCGGAATTTCCAGACCTTCGACGCGATTTACTCTGAAGACGATTTACCTGGAGTGAATTTTGAAGTCAACCTGATTCGCATTTTTAGTGGCTGGGATTTATTTCAATGGCATCTTCAAAGCAGAGTGATGGGGCTTTCAGTAGCAGTGTGGGATTATTTCGACAATCCTAGAGCATTGGGCTTCCTGCAATATTACATGGGAAATTGGGAGCTGTTTCTCTTGGAGGGGGGAGAAGTGCAGTTGTGCTGCAATTTTCTGTCTTACCCTTCGGCGTGTTCCATCATCCATCTCAGAGCAACATTCGTCACCGTTACTCTTCCGCGCCTGATTTCATCACTTCGTTGATGGAGATTGCTGACTTTCGAGGGGCACGGTCGCGTGATCTCGCATGTGACACGAACAACCTCGCGCGTTGATGAACAGGTCCTCGTCATCTGACAATCCACGTCATTCGACAGTTCATCATTATTCGGGATATTCATCTGCCACGCGCCATCATCAATCGATCACTCGACAGTTTCACTGTTCATTGTCTCCCGCTAGAGTATTTACCCTTGCCCGTTTGGTCAGCAGAAGAATTCGACCATCTTCGACGACTGCCATTAAAAGCGATCGTTTTGACGTTTTCTGACCATCGATTTCAGTTCGATCGCAAGACCTCGTCAGGCCGACGTAATCATTACGCTCGTCACAGGGCTGAAGACTCACAGTCACTTCGGGGATTAACTTAGATAAAAGGTTCGACCTCGATAAAGGGAGTGCCTTCCTTTTAGAAGGTGGGAGAGTGTAAGGAATTATGATTCCTTACTAGGGCTCACCACAGCGAGTACACGCGAACCTCTCGGTTCCGCAGGCTCGGCCCTCAAGTCACGTGCCAAACCAGCCCCCGTTGACCTTTTCGGCCCCAACCTGATCCCGAGTCGCCCCGAACCCATTTTGACCACGTCATCCTCGGGACTATCGAGCCCTTGACTGGTCCAACCCTCGACATTCAACCTGGTCAACTCGCACTATATAAGCCCTAGGCCTCATTTCTATCGTCCTTCTGTAATCTCGTTCCCCTATAGTATTCTGCGCTATACTCTGAGTTATAATTCATAACACTGGTGCCCAGCGACACGAGGGTAACCCTCGCGGGGGAAACCCTCAGGAAACCTGTGACGATCATGTGGGTTGAATTTTGCAGGGGTGATTTTTTTATGAACGCGCTTGACGCGACAAGGAAGACGAGCGCCGTCGAGCGGAACGAGGGTCGTCGTTCGCCGCTCAGAGGGCATCCCCCCCGGCGGTGTTCCTTCGAGGGTCCCTTCGAGGGTGCGGTGGGTTTTTTTTAGAATTCCCAGGTGGGAGAAAGCCTGTCTCGTTATCGGGAGGTATCACTTCCAGTGTTCCTTCGAGCGTTCACGTGAAAGTCGCACGAAAGGTCGGGTTTGGGCCTTGGAACGCCTCAACCGTCGCCGCCCGTCCTGGCGTGCTTCGGTGAGTGAACATCGCTGCCCCATGGTGTCTCTCGTTACCACATTCATGACCTAGCTAGCTAACAGTTAGCTAAACAAAAAACGAATAAATAAGTTTTCTAAGATTTGTCACAACATCCGTTGTAGTCTAGTCGGTTAGGATATTCGGCTCTCACCCGAAAGACCCGGGTTCAAGTCCCGGCAACGGAATTTTTGAGCGGCTCGGAGCTTGTTCTGTCTTGTTCGCCCACCAGTTCAGATGTTCATTTACTGCATACTTCCTCATTTTTTTCTCATTTCCTGCAGGATTCTTTGCTCATTCCATGATAAGAAAGGCATATGACACGAAATTTGAGAATCTGGAGGAGCAGATATCTTGGGTGGAATGGAAAGTATGGGTGTCAGCGATGTGTGTGGCACACTATGTGATATTTGGAATTCATGGTATTTGCAAGTCATTATACAATACGAATGGAATAGTGCATTCTATACTTTCATGTACGGATCCGACTTCTAGCATGAGCATTGTGTCTGTTTTGGGTTGTGCCCCCTGATGAACGGATTTGCGGGCACTGACGCGCGGTGCTCTGACTGACCGACACACAAAATTTTGCGACTCGTCATTCCCAAAGCGCCCACCGCCTTCGCAGCGCGCAACCATGCATTTCCAAGGGTGGCTGTAACCCGCTTTGCAGAACAAGGCACATCCCGCTCACCTGGTTGGTCATGAATCGGTGTATCCTTTTTTCGTTTTCGACAAACCTGGAGATTTGTTCTTTCCCTTGGGTGGTTTGGGTTAGGCTGATTGTAATCCAGGCAGGCCACGATCCATTACCACTGTTAGTTATCTCGTTATAACGGTCGAAGTATTTCAGCTTCTCTTGACGCACCCCGTTTTGTCCTCTCATAGTTCCTGCACTCGCAGAAAGACGTTTCGTATAGGAGACCCTCCGTGCAATAAACTCCATCGATCCGTATTTGGATCTCCAGAGCATCCGAATCGCGACTACTAGGGCTTGTTAGTACTGTGCTGTGCTTGTTAGTGACAATGGGTCGAACGATAGGGGACCGAGCCAGCCTAACTTCGTTAGCTCTCACGGTTTTGCTTCTCATAGCTCCAGACTTTGCGGCATTCGTTCGATCGCAGCCCGTCGATCCGACTCAAAGTGAGTGGCGACCCGTTCTGCAAAATCAGCTGGTTGATTAGCATTCTAAAAAATGCGTCTTGCGGTATAAAGATGCAGGTCTAGGGTGTCACTGACAGTGTACTAAGAGGCAATGTAACGCAACTGGGCGGACCATGGGAGAGAACTGGACCACTGCTCCCTCTCCACTCTCTCCCCCCTTCCTTCCTCCCCTCCACTGCGCACTTTCCCTGTGCTGCTGGATAGCCGGGCGCTGTGGAGTCGCAACTTCACGGGATGGACCGCGGGGGAGGACTGCTACTTATCTCCTCACTCAGTCCCCCCCTTCTTTCCCCTCCTTTCCCCTCGCTGCCTCCTTATAGTCCCCGTGTTGCTGGATTGCCACGCCCTGTGGAGTCGCAACTTCACAGGATGGACCACGGGGGAGGACTGCTACTGCTTTCTCCTTCACATCCCCCCATCTATCCCCTCCCCCTCTCCCCTCCCCCCCCCCCCCCCCTCTTCTCCCATCTTCTCCCCCCTTCTTCAACGTAGGCCCCGTATTGCTGGACCGTCAAGCTCTGTGGAGCTGCAACTCCGCGGGATGGACCACGAGGGAGGGCTGGCGAGAGGAACGGGGAGGGAACTGTGATTCTGCTGCCCTCACTCCCCCTTACTCTTCCCCTATCCCCCGTTTTTGTTCCCCTCTCTTCCTCCCCATAGTCCCCATATCGCTGGATTGCCCGGCGCTGTGGGGTCGCAACTTCACGGGAAGAACCACGGGGGAGGACTGTGCTGCTGCTTCGGCCTCCGAACCACCTCTCTCCCCCCTCCCCCCACCTCCTCCTCCTCCCCGCTGACCGCACCCCAATAGTCCCCGTGCTTCTAGACTGCCAGGCGCCGTGGAGTCGCAACTTCACGGGATGGACCACGGGGGAGAACTGTGCTACTGCTTCTTCCCCCTCACTCCCCACCCTCTCCTCTCGCCCCCTCCCGCCCTTCTACCCATTTGTGTCCTCCCCAATAGTCCCCGTGCTGCTGGATTGCCAAGCTCTCTGGAGTCGCAACTTCACGGGATGGACCACGGGGGAGAACTGTGCTACTGCCGAGGGGCTGCAGTGTGACAGTAACGGGATGATCGTGAAGATGTGAGTGTGACAGTAACGGGATGATAATGAAGGTGTCAGTGTGACAGTAACGGAAGGTTCAGGGAGATAGGGAGCGTGACAGGAAAGGGATGGTTGGGGAGATGCGACTGTTGTGAAGACGTGTGCGTGACAGTAACTGGACGATTGTGATGCACGTCTAACCCCCCCACCCTTCCTGTGCCCCCCCACTCTTCCTGTTCCCCCCCCTCCCTCCCCACCCTCTGGTAGGACCATGGAGATCTCCTCTATCACAGGAATGCAGGCTTCGTCCCTCACAACATGAAGGGGGCTTCTCAGGCACGTCTAACCCCCCCCCCACCCTTCCTGTCCCCCCCTCCCCTCCCTCCCCATCCTCTCTTCAGGACCATGGAGATCTCGTCTCTCACAGGAGTGCTGCCATCGTCTCTTGAAAGGATGAAGTCGCCTTTAACTCCCTCCTCCCCACCCCCCCTCTCTTCCCCTCCCCACCCCCTCTCCTTGTCCTGTCAGGACCATGGAGATCTCGTCTCTCACAGGAGTGCTGCCTTCGTCGCTCGGCAATTTGAAGCAGCTCACGCACCTGTAAGCAGCTCATGTTGGTTTTTGAGAAATCTCAAAAACCAACTTACCACATTTGTAAGGAGCGCTTGCGCTGCTTCTTGCTGCTCATGACACATGGGTGCACCTGTGATGTTGAGTTGACTCGATTCAATAGTCTCCTTGCTTCTTGCTGCCCATCACACATGGGTGCACCTGTGATGTTGAGTTGACTCGATTCAATAGTCTCCTTGCTTCTTGCTGCCCATCACACATGGGTGCACCTGTGATGTTGAGTTGACTACTCAGGAGCCTCCTCCCGCCCTCTCCCCCCTCCACCCCCCGCTCATCTCTCCATCCCCCCTCACCTCTCCACCCCCCTCGCCTCCCCTCATTGCCCCCTATCCGCCCCTTACCGCATCTGCTAACCCCTTCTCGCCCAACCTCCCCCCCCCCCCCCCCCCACCCAGCAACCTCTTCCCGAACAACCTGGACTGGATAGTGGCATTCCCAGCACCCTTGGGGCTCTCACCTTATCGCCTCCCCTCATTGCCCCCTATCCGCCCCTTCTCGCCCCTAACCTCATCCGCTCCGCTCCTCCCCTCCCCTCGCCCTCCCCCACCCAGCAACCTCTTTCAAAACAATCTGGATAGCGACATTCCCAGCACCCTTGGCGCTCTCACCAATCTCCAGCACCTGTAAGCCTTCTTGCTCTCACGAATGCTTCTTATATTGCTAGATTAATTGAAAGGCAATCTCGGAATCGGAATCAGCCTCCTCACAGCCCCGCTCCTCTTTCTCCTCCGTTGCATCTCTTCCCCCTCTTTTTGCTCCGTCCCCCCACCCCCCCGCTCACAGCGATCAGCGCATCAAACCCCCTCACAGGCCTGCTCTCCTGCTCCTCCTCCTCACCGGCCCTCTACCATTCGTCCCCCATCTTGACCCCCATACCTTTCCCCTCCCCTTTCTCTTCTTCCTTTCCGCAACCCTACCCCCGCGCCCTCCCCCTATTCGTCCCTCCCTCTCGCCCCTCCCATCCTGCTCACAGGCCCACTCCCCTTGTTCCTCGACACTCTAACTCTCCTTGTTCACAGGCTCACAGGCCCACTCCCCTTGTTCCTCCCTTCTTCAACCTCGCTTTCCCTCCTCTTTCTCGTTATCCTTTACCCCTCTCGCTCGCCCAACAGCAATCTTGGTATCAACATGCTCACAGGCCCGCTTCCCTTGTTCCTCGACACCCTCTCACTCCTCACCTACCTGTCAGTACCCACCTTCTTCCCACCTTCTTCCCACCTTCTTCCCTTTCACCTGCTTAGTTCTTTGAGACGACTCAAAACTAGACTATCACCGCTCCCGTAGTACACACTCTCTCACTCCTCACCTGCTTGTCCGTATCCGCATGTTTCAGTTCACTTGCTTGGTTTCGAGATGTCTCAATGCCAGACTATTCCCACTCCCTCTGTTCCTCAACGCGCTCTCTCACACCCACCGCTATCCCCACCTCTCTCTATCCCCACGTCTCTCTATCCCCACCTCTCTCTATCCCCACGTCTCTCTATCCCCACCTCTCTCTATCCCCACGTCTCTCTATCCCCACCTCTCTCTATCCCTACCTATCTCCGACCACTCTCTGCCCCACCCTACCTGTGTCCTCACCTCACATACCTCTGGTTCTCTCACTAAGCTTCCGTTCCATTCGCACGGTGTTTTTGAGAACTCTCAAAAACGTTCCATCCGCACGGACCACCCATTTCTTAAGCTGCCTCAAAACTGGACTCTGCCCCACCCTACCTGTGTCCTCACCTCAGATACCTCTGGTTCTCTCTCACTCAGCTTGCTTTCCATTCGCACGCACCACCCTTGTTCTCGTTTTCTTCACTTTTTTTTTTCGCTTTTTTTCTTTCGCATTCTCTGCTGGCCCCTCTCCGTTCCCCCCCCGTTCTCCTTCCCCTACCCCCACAACCTGTTCCCATTCCCCTCTCCCCTCCCCTCCACCTCTGCACATTACTCTACACTACAGGAACCTGGGCGACAATCAGCTGCTAGGCTCCCTTTCTGCTGGCCCCTCTCCTCTCCGTCCCCCCCTGTTCCCCTTCCCCTCCCCCCTCCCCTCCACCTGTGCCCATCACTCCACCCCCTCTCCCCTCCCCTCCGCCTCTGCCCATCACACCACCCCCTCTCCCCTCCCCTCCGCCTCTGCACATCACTCCACCCCCTCTCCCCTCCCCTCCGCCTCTGCCCATCACTCCACCCCCTCTCCCCTCCCCTCCGCCTCTGCCCATCGCTCTACAGAAACCTGGGCGACAATCAACTGCTAGGCTCTCTTTCTGCTGGCCTGGGGAATCTCAAGCAGCTTCAGTACTTGTAAGTGGTTACAGCTTCAGTACTTGTAAGTGGTTACAGCTTCAGTACTTGTAAGTGGTTACAGCTTCAGTACTTGTAAGTGGTTACAGCTTCAGTACTTGTAAGTGGTTACACTACTACAAACGATACTGGTGAGTGGTTTATCCCATCACCTGTTTGGTCTGTTTCACCCACGTGTCACTCGCACTCACTCCCTCCCTCCCTCCCTCCCTCCCTCCCTCCCTCCCTCCCTCCCTCCCTCCCTCCCCCTCCATGCTGCACTGTTTCTTTGCCCCCATTGGTCAGAAATCTTCGAGTCGACTCAAAAAGCACCTACAGCCAGAAATCTCTCAAATGAATCAACGTCTCTCGCTGGTCGCCCTCAGCAGCATTCACACTTCTTCCTCCTCCTCACGTCTGCACTACTATCTCCCCCCCTTCTCCCCTCCCCCTCTGTGCAGAGACCCCCCCCCCACTTCAATCCCCCCCACCTCAAACGTTTCACTATGTCCCATCCGCCCTTCTGTGCAGAGACCGGTCGCAGAGCAACGTCTCTGCATCACTGCCATCTACAGTTGGGCCGTTTTCAGCATCCAGCGGCATGCACGCACACCTCAACCTCCACTCCCCCTCCGCTTCCTCTTTGCCCCTCTTTGCCCTTCTGTGCAGGGACCGGTCGAAAAGCAACGTCTCTGCATCACTGCCATCAACACTCGGGTCGCTCTCTCAGCCCACCCTGCATTCACGCTTCAACCTCTTCCCCTCCCCCCTCTCCCCTCCCCCCCCCTGCCCCCCCCATTCTCTCCCTTGGACCCTTGGAGCAGAGACATTTCCAAGAACAACGTCTCGGGCTTCATGCCCTTGACAGTAGGGCCGCTCTCAGCCCTCACCTGCGTTCACACTTCAACCTCTTCCCCTCCCCCCTCCCCCCCACTCCCCCCCCTTCTCTCCCCCCTTCGCCCCTCGCTGCAGAGACATCTCAAAGAACAACGTCTCTGGCCCTGTGCTCTCAACACAGTCGATTCTCTCCCATCTGCTGTTGGCTCCCCCTGCATGCACGCTTCAACCTCTTCCCCCACCCACCACCTCTCCCCCCCCTTTGCCCCCCGCTGCAGAGATATCTCCAAGAACAAAGTCTCGGGCTCCCTGCCATGGACAGTAGTAGGGTCGCTCTCAGCACTCTCCTGCATTCGCGCTTCAACCTCTTCCCCTCCCCCCTCCCCCCTCCCCCCTTTCCTCTCCCCTTGAACCCTTGGTGCAGGGACATCTCCAAGAACAACGTCACGGGCTTCATGCCCTTGACAGTAGTAGGGTCTCTCTCTCTGCCCTCACCTGCATTCACGCTTCAAGGTCTTCCCATCCTCCCCAACACCCCCCTCCTCCCCCTCTATGCAGAGACATCTCCAAGAATAACGTCTCTGGCTCCCTGCCGTCGACAGTAGGGTCGCTCTCAGCCCTCACTTGGCTGTACGTGCTGTAAAAGGGGGGACTTGGGTGTGCTTCAGGCAGGTGGAGCAACTTGGGTGTGCTACAGGCAGGTGGAGCAACTTGGGTGTGCTATAGGCAGGTGGAGCAACTCGGGTGTGCTACAGGCAGGTGGAGCAACTTGGGTGTGCTAATGGTGAGGTGCACAGTACACGTAGACGCCAAGATACAAACAATGTCTCTGGCTCCCTGCAACTCACTTGGCTGTGCGTGCTTATGGTGAGGAAGAGAGTGCACATTACACTTTGATGCCAAAGTACGGACAGCGTCTGTTGAGGCCATAAATAGGGGCCATAAAAAGGGGCCATAAAAGGGGCCATAAAAAGGGGCCACAAAAAAGGGCCATAAAAAAAGGCCATAAAAAGGGGCCATAAAAGGGGCCATAAAAGGGGCCATAAAAAAGGGCCATAAAAAAGGCCATAAAAAGGGGCCATAGTAAGGGGCTGTAAAAAGCATTGTTCCCCCCCTTCTTTTCTCTGCTCTCTGCCCTAAATACACCATTGATTCTTCTCGTTACAGTGACCTTCAGTACAATCACATTGAAAACAGCATTCCTCCTAACCCTAATCGAATCTCTGTTCATTGGATCTCTCCCCACCCCCCTCTTTACAGTGACCTTCAGTACAACCAGATTGAAAACAGCATTCCTCCTAACCCTAATCGAGTCTCAGTTCATTGGATCTCTCCCCACCCCCCTCTTTACAGTGACCTTCAGTACAATCACATGGAAAACAGCATCCCCGCTTCTATCACCAACCTCACAGCACTCAACTACCTGTAAGGCTCTCTCTCTTGAAAGTATGTCTGTTTTTAAAGTAAGCTTTCTAGTCACTGTTGGAGTTGACTAGAGCTTCCCACCTCCCATTTCTCACTCCCCCCTTCACCTCCCATTTCTCACTCCCCCCTTCCCACCTCCTCTCCCTCCCCCATTGTTGGAGTGAGCTAGAGCTCGCTCTGCCAGGCAATATTTCCTCACCTAACTACCTAGCCCCCCACTAGGCTAGATTTTGCTCTCTTAGTCACTACTTTCTTGCCTACCTACCTACCCCCCTAGTAGGCTCCAAGGCCTATTTTAAGCACCCATTCTCAGTTTCAAACATTCTCAGTTTCAGTAACCTTGCAAACACCAATCTCAGTGGCTCTATTCCCTTGATCTTTGTTCCGTCTTGGGTTGCCTCATATTCCGCCTCCTCCCACTTCCTCCTCCTCTCCCCTCTCACCCTTTCCCCCCCCCTCCACTCCCCCCCATCCTATCCAGCAAACTTGCAAACAGCAATCTCCGCGGCTCTGCTCCCTTGCTCATTCTGCCCTCTTGAGCTGACTCTTACGCTGCCTCCTCCTCCCACTTCCTCCTCCTCTCCCCCTCTCACCCTTTTCCCCCTCCCCCCCCCTCTCCAGCAACCTTGCGAACAACAAGCTCTCTCAGTGGCTCTGTTCCCACTTAACGGCTCCTATCCCCCTCTCACCATTGCGCTTCCTCTCACCCTTTCCCCCCCTCTTGCCTTCTCCCTCCCCCTCCCCCCGCCCTCTCTCCCCCTTCTCCAGCAACCTTGCAAACAACAATCTCAACGGCTCTGTTCCCATATTTGACAGCTTCCCTACACTCACATACCTGTAATGCCCTATTCGTTACTGTCATGCTTATTGGTGTTCTGTGGCACCTTCCCTACACGCACCCACCTGCATTGTCACAACGGTCATTGTGTCGTTCGTCAGTGTGCAACTGCAGAGCAGCAGGCTTGGTACTGCTGCTGCAGAGCAGCAGGCTTTGGTACTGCTGTTGGAGAGCAGCAGGCTTTGGTACTGCTGCTGGAGAGCAGCAGGCTTTGGTACTGCTGCTGCAGCGACTTTAAACTAGTTTCCGTGTGACACTAGTTTCTTATTGAATCGACTTTAAACGAAACTGGAATCACAGAAGCAGCAGGCCTTGGTACTACTGCTGCAGCGTTTCCATTTCCCTGCACTGCAGAGCCACAATGGGCGCTGCTCCCACTGAGAGCCACAACAGGCGCTGCTTGCACTGAGAGCCACAACAGGCGCTGCTCGCACTGCAGAGCCACAACGGGCGCTGCTCGCACTGAGAGCCAAAACAGGCGCTGCTTGCACTGGGAGCCACAACAGGCGCTGCTTGCACTGAGAGCAACAACAGGCGCTGCTCGCACTGAGAGCCACAACAGGCGCTGCTTGCACTGAGAGCATCTCCCCTTTCCTCTTCTCACTCCGCTCCTTGCGTGCTTCTTCCCTCACCTTCTCTTGCAGGGGCCTTGGAGAAAACAACCTGGAAGGTCCCTTCCCCATCACCAGCAGCCAGGGCCTTCCCCTTCGAACACTGTGAGTCACAGTCACCATTCACACCAGCAGCAATCGAGTGCTTGTGTTGGCCCTCGTTGTTACTAGGTGACTTTTAAATCCACTCAAAAGTAATCTCTTCCCCTCCAAGCTCTGTGAGTTAGTCACCAGTCAAGCGCTTGTGTTGGTAACTAGTTTACGAACGTCAAGTCACCAGAGACGTCTCAGAACTAAATCAATTACACACAGTCACAAGTCAAGTGCCTGCGTTGGCCCTCGTTACTATCACGCCACACTGACTGCTACTTTAGCCTTCGTTACTAGCACCCACACTGCCGCCTTCCCTCTTGCCTCTAGCCAGGGCCTTCCCCTCAAAACACTGTGAGCCACTTAATTGTCCTCTTTGCCCTGTGGTAGCAGCCATAATCTTGATATTGTCACACTCTGTTGATATTGTCACGAGGCAACAAGCCGTCAGCTCCCATCCCTCGCTCCATCTCCTCCCTTCCTCTCCCCCTCCGCCCACACGCCTCCCCCTCCCCCCCACCCCACAGTGACATCCGGGGCAACAAGCTCTCAGGCCCCCTCCCTCGCTCCATCTCCTCCCTCTCCACTCTGGAACACCTGTGAGTTTGCTTCTGAGTCGACTCAAAACTCCACTCTGGAAAACTTGTGAGTTGGTTCTAAGAGTGTAGTTCGTACCCTGTGCCTCTATGCTGGCCCCTGCCACTATGCTTGCCCGTGCCACTACGCTTTCTCCTGCCACTATGCTTCCCTGTGCCGCTATGCTTGCTCCTGCCACTATGCTTCCCCGTGCCGCTATGCTTCCCCTTGCCACTATGCTGCCCCGTGCCAATATGCTTGCTCATGCCGCTATGCTTCCCTGTGCCACTATGCTTGCCCGTGCCACTATGCTTGCTCGTGCCACAATGCTTGCCCGTGCCACCATGCTGCCCCGTGCCACTATGCTTCCCCGTGCCACTATGCTGCCCCGTGCCGCTATGCTGCCCCGTGCCACTATGCTTCCCCGTGCCGCTATGCTTTCACGTGCCACTATGCTTCCCCGTGCCACTATGCTGCCCCGTGCCACTATGCTTCCCCGTGCCACCATGCTGCCCCATGCCACCATGCTTCCCCGTGCCACTATGCTGCCCTGTGCCCCTATGCTGCCCCGAGCCACTATGCTGCCCTGTGCCACTATGCTGCCCCGTGCCACCATGCTGCCCCATGCCACTATGCTTCCCCGTGCCACTATGCTGCCCTGTGCCACTATGCTTGCCCGTGCCACTGTGCTTACCCGTGCCACTATGCTTCCCCATGCCACTATGCTGCCCCGTGCCACTCTGCTGCCCCGTGCCACAATGCTGCCCCGTGCCACTATGCTGCCCCGTGCCACTATGCTTCCCCGTGCCACAATGCTGCCCCGTGCCACTATGCTGCCCCATGCCACTATGCTGCCCCGTGCCACTATGCTGCCCCGTGCCACAATGCTGCCCTGTGCCAGTATGCTGCCCCGTGCCACTATGCTGCCCCGTGCTACTATGCTTCCCCGTGCCACTATGCTGCCCCGTGCCACTATGCTGCCCCGTGCCACTATGCTGCCCCGTGCTACTATGCTTCCCCGTGCCACTATGCTGCCCCGTGCCACTATGCTGCCCCGTGCCACTATGCTGCCCCGTGCCACAATGCTGCCCCGTGCCACAATGCTGCCCTGTGCCACTATGCTGCCCTGTGCCACTATGCTGCCCCGTGCCACTATGCTGCCCTGTGCCACTATGCTGCCCCGTGCCACCATGCTGCCCCATGCCACTATGCTTCCCCGTGCCACTATGCTGCCCTGTGCCACTATGCTTGCCCATGCCACTGTGCTTACCCGTGCCACTATGCTTCCCCATGCCACTATGCTGCCCCGTGCCACTCTGCTGCCCCGTGCCACAATGCTGCCCCGTGCCACTATGCTGCCCCGTGCCACTATGCTTCCCCGTGCCACTATGCTGCCCCGTGCCACTATGCTGCCCCGTGCCACTATGCTGCCCCGTGCCACTCTGCTGCCCCGTGCCACAATGCTGCCCTGTGCCACTATGCTGCCCCGTGCCACTATGCTGCCCCGTGCCACTATGCTGCCCTGTGCCACTATGCTGCCCCGTGCCACCATGCTGCCCCATGCCGCTATGCTTCCCCGTGCCACTATGCTGCCCTGTGCCACTATGCTTGCCCATGCCACTGTGCTTACCCGTGCCACTATGCTTCCCCATGCCACTATGCTGCCCCGTGCCACTCTGCTGCCCCGTGCCACAATGCTGCCCCGTGCCACTATGCTGCCCCGTGCCACTATGCTTCCCCGTGCCACTATGCTGCCCCGTGCCACTATGCTGCCCCATGCCACTATGCTGCCCCGTGCCACTATGCTGCCCCGTGCCACAATGCTGCCCTGTGCCACTCTGCTGCCCCGTGCCACTATGCTGCCCCGTGCTACTATGCTTCCCCGTGCCACTATGCTGCCCCGTGCCACTATGCTGCCCCGTGCCACTATGCTGCCCCGTGCTACTATGCTTCCCCGTGCCACTATGCTGCCCCGTGCCACTATGCTGCCCCGTGCCACTATGCTGCCCCGTGCCACTATGCTGCCCCGTGCCAAAATGCTGCCCTGTGCCACTATGCTACCCCGTGCCACTATGCTGACCCGTGCTACTATGCTTCCCCGTGCCACTATGCTGACCCGTGCCACTATGCTTCCCCGTGCCACTATGCTGCCCTGCCCCGTGCCACTATGCTGCCCCGTGCCACAATGCTGCCCGGTGCCACTATGCTGCCCCGTGCCACTATGCTGCCCCGTGCTACTATGCTTCCCCGTGCCACTATGCTGCCCCGTGCCACTATGCTGCCCCGTGCCACTATGCTGCCCCGTGCTACTATGCTTTCCCCGTGCCACTATGCTGCCCCGTGCCACTATGCTGCCCGTGCCACTATGCTGCCCCCGTGCCACTATGATGCCCCGTGCCACAATGCTGCCCTGTGCCACTATGCTGCCCCGTGCCACTATGCTGACCCGTGCTACTATGCTTCCCAGTGCCACTATGCTGCCCCGTGCCACTATGCTGCCCCGTGCCACTATGCTGCCCCGTGCCACTATGCTTCCCCGTGCCACTATGCTTCCCCGTGCCGCTATGCTTCCCCGTGCCACTATGCTGCCCCGTGCCACTATGCCTCCCCGTGCCACTGTGCTTCCCCGTGCCACTATGCTGCCCCGTGCCACTATGCTGCCCCGTGCCACTATGCTGCCCCGTGCCACTATGCTGCCCCGTGCCACTATGCTGCCCCATGCCACTATGCTGCCCCGTGCCACTATGCTGCCCCATGCCACTATGCTTCCCCGTGCCACTATGCTTGCCCGTGCCACTGTGCTTACCCGTGCCACTATGCTTCCCCATGCCACTATGCTGCCCCGTGCCACTCTGCTGCCCCGTGCCACAATGCTGCCCCGTGCCACTATGCTGCCCCGTGCCACTATGCTTCCCCGTGCCACTATGCTGCCCCGTGCCACTATGCTGCCCCATGCCACTATGCTGCCCCGTGCCACTATGCTGCCCCGTGCCACAATGCTGCCCTGTGGCACTATGCTGCCCCGTGCCACTATGCTGCCCCGTGCTACTATGCTTCCCCGTGCCACTATGCTGCCCCGTGCACTATGCTGCCCCGTGCCACTATGCTGCCCCGTGCTACTATGCTTCCCCATGCCACTATGCTGCCCCGTGCCACTATGGCTGCCCCGTGCCACTATGCTGCCCCGTGCCCCACTATGCTGCCCCGTGCCACAATGCTGCCCTGCTGTGCCACTATGCTGGCCCCGTGCCCACTATGTGCTGCCCCGTGCCACTATGCTGCCCTGTGCCACTATGCTGCCCCGTGCCACCATGCTGCCCCATGCCACTATGCTTCCCCGTGCCACTAATGCTGCCCCGTGCCACAATGCTGCCCCGTGCCACTATGCTGCCCCGTGCCTATGCTCCCGTGCCACTATGCTTCCCCGTGCCACTATGCTGCCCCGTGCCACTATGCTGCCCCATGCCACTATGCCTGCCCCGTGCCACTATGCTGCCCCCGTGCCACAATGCTGCCCTGTGCCACTATGCTGCCCCGTGCCACTATGCTGCCCCGTGCTTCTATGCTGTCCCCGTGCCACTATGCTGCCCCCGTGCCACTATGCTGCCCCGTGCCACTATGCTGCCCCCGTGCTACTATGCTTCCCCGTGCCACTATGCTGCCCCGTGCCACTATGCTGCCCCGTGCCACTATGCTGCCCCATGCCACTATGCTGCCCCGTGCCACATGCTGCCCCTGTGCCACTATGCTGCCCCGTGCCACTATGCTGCCCCGTGCTACTATGCTTCCCCGTGCCACTATGCTGCCCCGTGCCACTATGCTGCCCCGTGCCACTATGCTGCCCCGTGCTACTATGCTTCCCCGTGCCACTATGCTTCCCCGTGCCGCTATGCTGCCCCGTGCCACTATGCTGCCCCGTGCCACTATGCTCCCCGTGCCACTATGCTGCCCCGTGCCACTATGCTGCCCCGTGCCACTATGCTGCCCCGTGCCACTATGCTGCCCCGTGCCACTATGCTGCCCCGTGCCACTATGCTGCCCCGTGCCACTATGCTGCCCCGTGCCACTATGCTGCCCCGTGCCACTATGCTGCCCCGTGCCACTATGCTGCCCCGTGCCACTATGCTGCCCCGTGCCACTATGCTGCCCCGTGCCACTATGCTGCCCCGTGCCACTATGCTGCCCCGTGCCACTATGCTGCCCCGTGCCACTATGCTGCCCCGTGCCACTATGCTGCCCCGTGCCACTATGCTGCCCCGTGCCACTATGCTGCCCGTGCCACTATGCTGCCCCGTGCCACTATGCTGCCCCGTGCCACTATGCTTCCCCGTGCCACTATGCTGCCCCGTGCCACTATGCTGCCCCGTGCCACTATGCTGCCCCGTGCCACTATGCTTCCCCGTGCCACTATGCTGCCCCGTGCCACTATGCTGCCCCGTGCCACTATGCTGCCCCGTGCCACTATGCTGCCCCGTGCTACTATGCTTCCCCGTGCCACTATGCTGCCCCGTGCCACTATGCTGCCCCGTGCCACTATGCTGCCCCGTGCCACTATGCTGCCCCGTGCCACATGCTGCCCTGTGCCACTATGCTGCCCCGTGCCACTATGCTGACCCGTGCTACTATGCTTCCCCGTGCCACTATGCTGCCCCGTGCCACTATGCTGCCCCGTGCCACTATGCTGCCCCGTGCTACTATGCTTCCCCGTGCCACTATGCTTCCCCGTGCCACTATGCTTCCCCGTGCCACTATGCTGCCCCGTGCCACTATGCCCCCGTGCCACTATGCTTCCCCGTGCCACTATGCTGCCCCGTGCCACTATGCTGCCCCGTGCCACTATGCTGCCCCGTGCCACTATGCTGCCCCGTGCCACTATGCTGCCCCGTGCCACTATGCTGCCCTGTGCCACTATGCTGCCCCGTGCCACTATGCTGCCCCGTGCTACTATGCTTCCCCGTGCCACTATGCTGCCCCGTGCCACTATGCTGCCCCGTGCCACTATGCTGCCCCGTGCCACTATGCTTCCCCGTGCCACTATGCTGCCCCGTGCCACTATGCTGCCCCGTGCCACTATGCTGCCCCGTGCCACTATGCTGCCCCGTGCCACTATGCTGCCCCGTGCCACTATGCTGCCCCGTGCCACTATGCTGCCCCGTGCCACTATGCTGCCCCGTGCCACTATGCTGCCCGTGCCACTATGCTGCCCCGTGCCACTATGCTGCCCCGTGCCACTATGCTGCCCTGCCACTATGCTGCCCCGCCACTATGCTACCCGTGCCACTATGCTTCCCCTGCCACTATGCTGCCCCGTGCCACTATGCTGCCCCGTGCCACTATGCTGCCCCGTGCCACTATGCTGCCCCGTGCCACTATGCTTCCCCGTGCCACTATGCTGCCCCGTGCCACTATGCTGCCCCGTGCCACTATGCTGCCCCGTGCCACTATGCTGCCCCGTGCCACTATGCTGCCCCGTGCCACTATGCTGCCCCGTGCCACTATGCTGCCCCGTGCTACTATGCTTCCCCGTGCCACTATGCTGCCCCGTGCCACTATGCTGCCCCGTGCCACTATGCTGCCCCGTGCCACTATGCTTCCCCGTGCCACTATGCTGCCCTGCCACTATGCTGCCCCGTGCCACTATGCTGCCCCGTGCCACTATGCTGCCCCGTGCCACATGCTGCCCCGTGCCACTATGCTGCCCCGTGCCACTATGCTGACCCGTGCCTATGCTTCCCCGTGCCACTATGCTGCCCGTGCCACTATGCTTCCCCGTGCCACTATGCTGCCCCGTGTGCCACTATGCTGCCCCGTGCCACTATGCTTCCCCGTGCCACTATGCTGCCCCGTGCCACTATGCTGCCCCGTGCCACTATGCTGCCCCGTGCCACTATGCTGCCCCGTGCCACTATGCTCCCCGTGCCACTATGCTGCCCCGTGCCACTATGCTGCCCCGTGCCACTATGCTGCCCCGTGCTACTATGCTTCCCCGTGCCACTATGCTGCCCCGTGCCACTATGCTGCCCCGTGCCACTATGCTGCCCGTGCGTGCCACTATGCTTCCCCGTGCCACTATGCTGCCCCGTGCCACTATGCTCCCCGTGCCACTATGCTGCCCCGTGCCACTATGCTGCCCCGTGCCACTATGCTGCCCCGTGCCACTATGCTGCCCCGTGCCACTATGCTGCCCCGTGCCACTAATGCTGCCCCGTGCCACTATGCTGCCCCGTGCCACTATGCTGCCCCGTGCTACTATGCTTCCCCGTGCCACTATGCTGCCCCGTGCCACTATGCTGCCCCGTGCCACTATGCTGCCCCGTGCCACTATGCTTCCCGTGCCACTATGCTGCCCCGTGCCACTATGCTGCCCCGTGCCACTATGCTGCCCCGTGCCACTATGCTGCCCCGTGCCACTATGCTGCCCCGTGCCACTATGCTGCCCCGTGCTACTATGCTTCCCCGTGCCACTATGCTGCCCCGTGCCACTATGCTGCCCCGTGCCACTATGCTGCCCCGTGCCACTATGCTGCCCCGTGCCACTATGCTGCCCCGTGCCACTATGCTGCCCCGTGCCACTATGCTGCCCCGTGCTACTATGCTTCCCCGTGCCACTATGCTGCCCCGTGCCACTATGCTGCCCCGTGCCACTATGCTGCCCCGTGCTACTATGCTTCCCCGTGCCACTATGCTTCCCCGTGCCGCTATGCTTCCCCGTGCCACTATGCTGCCCCGTGCCACTATGCTCCCCGTGCCACTATGCTTCCCCGTGCCACTATGCTGCCCCGTGCCACTATGCTGCCCCGTGCCACTATGCTGCCCCGTGCCACTATGCTTGCCCCGTGCCACTATGCTGCCCTGCCACTATGCTGCCCCGTGCCACTATGCTGCCCCGTGCCACTATGCTGCCCGTGCCACTATGCTGCCCCGTGCCACTATGCTGCCCCGTGCCACTATGCTTCCCCGTGCCACTATGCTGCCCCGTGCCACTATGCTGCCCCGTGCCACTATGCTGCCCCGTGCTACTATGCTTCCCCGTGCCACTATGCTGCCCCGTGCCACTATGCTGCCCCGTGCCACTATGCTGCCCCGTGCCACTATGCTGCCCTGCCACTATGCTGCCCCGTGCCACTATGCTGCCCTGCCACTATGCTTCCCCGTGCCACTATGCTGCCCCGTGCCACTATGCTGCCCCGTGCCACTATGCTGCCCTGCCCCGTGCCACTATGCTGCCCCGTGCCACAATGCTGCCCTGTGCCACTATGCTGCCCCGTGCCACTATGCTGCCCCGTGCTACTATGCTTCCCCGTGCCACTATGCTGCCCCGTGCCACTATGCTGCCCCGTGCCACTATGCTGCCCCGTGCTACTATGCTTCCCCGTGCCACTATGCTGCCCCGTGCCACTATGCTGCCCCGTGCCACTATGCTGCCCCGTGCCACTATGCTGCCCCGTGCCACAATGCTGCCCTGTGCCACTATGCTGCCCCGTGCCACTATGCTGCCCGTGCTACTATGCTTCCCCGTGCCACTATGCTGCCCCGTGCCACTATGCTGCCCCGTGCCACTATGCTGCCCCGTGCTACTATGCTTCCCCGTGCCACTATGCTTCCCCGTGCCGCTATGCTTCCCCGTGCCACTATGCTGCCCCGTGCCACTATGCCTCCCCGTGCCACTATGCTCCCCGTGCCACTATGCTCCCCGTGCCACTATGCTGCCCCGTGCCACTATGCTGCCCCGTGCCACTATGCTTCCCCGTGCCACTATGCTGCCCCGTGCCACTGTGCTGCCCGTGCCACTATGCTGCCCCGTGCCACTATGCTGCCCCGTGCCACTTGCTGCCCGTGCCACTATGCTGCCCCGTGCCACTATGCTGCCCCGTGCCACTATGCTGCCCCGTGCCACTATGCTGCCCCGTGCCACTATGCTGCCCCGTGCCACTATGCTGCCCCGTGCCACTATGCTGCCCCGTGCCACTATGCTGCCCCGTGCCACTATGCTTCCCCGTGCCACTATGCTGCCCCGTGCCACTATGCTGCCCCGTGCCACTATGCTGCCCCGTGCCACTATGCTGCCCCGTGCCACTATGCTGCCCTGTGCCACTATGCTGCCCCGTGCCACTATGCTGCCCCGTGCCACTATGCTTCCCCGTGCCACTATGCTGCCCCGTGCCACTATGCTGCCCCGTGCCACTATGCTGCCCCGTGCCACTATGCTGCCCCGTGCCACTATGCTGCCCCGTGCCACTATGCTGCCCCGTGCCACTATGCTGCCCCGTGCCACTATGCTGCCCCGTGCCACTATGCTGCCCCGTGCCACTATGCTGCCCCGTGCCACTATGCTGCCCCGTGCCACTATGCTGCCCTGTGCCACTATGCTGCCCCGTGCCACTATGCTGCCCCATGCCACTATGCTTCCCCGTGCCACTATGCTGCCCCGTGCCACTATGCTTGCCCTGCCACTATGCTGCCCGTGCCACTATGCTGCCCCGTGCCACTATGCTGCCCCGTGCCACTATGCTGCCCCGTGCCACTATGCTGCCCCGTGCCACTATGCTGCCCCGTGCCACTATGCTTCCCCGTGCCACTATGCTGCCCCGTGCCACTATGCTGCCCCGTGCCACTATGCTGCCCCGTGCCACTATGCTGCCCCGTGCCACAATGCTGCCCTGTGCCACTATGCTGCCCCGTGCCACTATGCTGCCCCGTGCTACTATGCTTCCCCGTGCCACTATGCTGCCCCGTGCCACTATGCTGCCCCGTGCCACTATGCTGCCCCATGCCACTATGCTTCCCCGTGCCACTATGCTGCCCCGTGCCACTATGCTGCCCCGTGCCACTATGCTGCCCCGTGCCACTATGCTGCCCGTGCCACTATGCTGCCCCGTGCCACTATGCTGCCCCGTGCACTATGCTTCCCCGTGCCACTATGCTTCCCCGTGCCACTATGCTGCCCCGTGCCACTATGCCTGCCCGTGCCACTATGCTTCCCCGTGCCACTATGCTTCCCCGTGCCACTATGCTGCCCCGTGCCACTATGCTGCCCGTGCCACTATGCTGCCCCGTGCCACTATGCTGCCCCGTGCCACTATGCTGCCCCGTGCCACTATGCTGCCCCGTGCCACTATGCTGCCCCGTGCCACTATGCTGCCCCGTGCCACTATGCTGCCCCGTGCCACTATGCTGCCCCGTGCCACTATGCTGCCCCGTGCCACTATGCTGCCCCGTGCCACTATGCTGCCCCGTGCCACTATGCTGCCCCGTGCCACTATGCTGCCCCGTGCCACTATGCTGCCCCGTGCCACTATGCTGCCCCGTGCCACTATGCTGCCCGTGCCACTATGCTGCCCCGTGCCACTATGCTGCCCCGTGCCACTATGCTTCCCCGTGCCACTATGCTGCCCTGTGCCACTATGCTGCCCGTGCCACTATGCTGACCCGTGCTACTATGCTTCCCCGTGCCACTATGCTGCCCCGTGCCACTATGCTGCCCCGTGCCACTATGCTGCCCCGTGCCACTATGCTGCCCCGTGCCACATGCTGCCCGTGCCACTATGCTGCCCCGTGCCACTATGCTGCCCCGTGCCACTATGCTTCCCGTGCCACTATGCTGCCCCGTGCCACTATGCTGCCCCGTGCCACTATGCTGCCCCGTGCCACTATGCTTCCCCGTGCCACTATGCTGCCCGTGCCACTATGCTGCCCCGTGCCACTATGCTGCCCCGTGCCACTATGCTGCCCCGTGCCACTATGCTGCCCCCCGTGCCACTATGCTGCCCCGTGCCACTATGCTGCCCCGTGCTACTATGCTCCCCGTGCCACTATGCTGCCCCGTGCCACTATGCTGCCCCGTGCCACTATGCTGCCCCGTGCCACTATGCTGCCCCGTGCCACTATGCTTCCCCGTGCCACTATGCTGCCCCGTGCCACTATGCTGCCCCGTGCCACTATGCCTCCCCGTGCCACTATGCTTCCCCGTGCCACTATGCTGCCCCGTGCCACTATGCTGCCCCGTGCCACTATGCTGCCCCGTGCCACTATGCTTCCCCGTGCCACTATGCTGCCCGCCACTATGCTGCCCCGTGCCACTATGCTGCCCTGCCACTATGCTGCCCCGTGCCACTATGCTGCCCCTGCCACTATGCTGCCCGTTGCCACTATGCTGCCCCGTGCCACTATGCTGCCCCGTGCCACTATGCTGCCCCGTGCCACTATGCTGCCCCGTGCCACTATGCTTCCCCGTGCCACTATGCTGCCCCGTGCCACTATGCTGCCCTGCCACTATGCTGCCCTGCACTATGCTGCCCCGTGCCACTATGCTGCCCCGTGCTACTATGCTTCCCCGTGCCACTATGCTGCCCCGTGCCACTATGCGGCCCCGTGCCACTATGCTGCCCCGTCTACTATGCTTCCC